ACAGCGGCCCACGTACGGTTATCACACACATACCACCATCCACTCGCAGCAGAACATTTCCATTGGACAGTCCCAGGGAACTTTCATCGCCAGCCACAAGAGGCAATCAAGAAAGTCGACGAACATTGTTATTGGTTGGTGACCCAGAAAGTCGATGACCATCTCCATGGGGACCACTGGACTGCAGGGCCTGTGAGGGTGGGTGGGCTTCCTGGTCAAGTACCCCATGCCGATGTCGTTAATTCTTCCGCATTGCTGTTCACACAATGTTGAGCAACTTTCCACCCAGGAGAATGGCCGCAAATCGAAATCAGCGGCACCTTCACTTGCTGTCCAACAATGAAGAACGACCGCAAATCGAAATCAGCGGCACCTTCACCTACTGTCCGCCAATGAAGGACGCCGACACGGAATTCATGCCGCATGCCTTGAGAACAGCTTTTCCAGAGAAAGCTTCTGCTCCTGATTCCTGAAGTCATCACCACACCCGGTTCCAACCAAGGGCGTACAACAAAAAAGAAACATAAACCTGTCAGTGCCATAAACGTTTTTTCTTTTTTTCTTTTTTTTGAAATCACGGCGGACGCGGCAGGTTTTGAGTTCGCAAAGGCAAAAAGAAAACCCGCCGGCACTTTTGCTTCCCTTAATTTATCCATCTGGGGCGTGGTCCCAGTAGCCACGAGGATCGGATTGAATGCCTGAATCTGGACGTGTTTGTGCACAGGTGCAGGAAATCGAGATTGAACTGCTTTTCTGCATCTCTGCGTGAAACACATCCAGATTCAGGTATTCAATCCGATCCTTGTCGCTAGTGGGACCTCGGTCCTGATCTTTTCTTTTAGCCAGCTTTGATGGGACGCTGGACCTGGTTTCCAGCACAAGCCGATATTGGGTAAGGGGGGGCCAGTCTTCCGGGCCGAGGTCCCACTAGCAAAGAGGATCGGATCGAATGCCTGAATCTGGACGTGTTTTATGCAGAGATGCAGAAAAGCAGTTCAATCTCCATTTCCTGCACCTCTCCACGAACACGTTCAGATGCAGGCATTCGATCCGACCCTCTTTGCTACTGGGACCACGCCCCCGGGTTGAGATGTGGAGGGATTCCCGGCCTCCTTTCGCCATTTAATTAAAAAAAAAGAAAAAAGAAAAAGAAAAAGAAAACGCGCCGACACAGAAACAGGCCTCGCAAATGAGGAGATCATTTGGACCGTTGATCTTTGCTATCTACGGTGCAAGTGGGACCTAGCCCCCGGGCTGACACCGCGGCCGTTAGTAAGGGCCAGATCCCACTAGCCCCTATTATTCATTTCTGACCGTTGATCTTCGTAATCGAGGGTCAAAAATGAACAATAGGGGCTAGTGGGATCTGGCCCTAACTTTCATTTGCTTGTTCGAACTCGGCGCTTGGTTCATTTGCTAGTGAAAGATATACAATATGATAATTATTATTATAATGATAATTATCATATATTGGATATCTATAGACAGGCAGCAGAAACTACTAAGCTGGAGTCCGGTAGAGGCAGAGGGAATTTCCGGTGGAGCGGTGAAATGCGATGTTTTTTTGGCTTATTCGATACTCAACAGTGACGTCAACGAATTCAACTGGACCATTTCTCGATTTACGCATCTCATCCTTGCGCAGGCTCCATGCTAATCTTTTCTTTCTCTGCATCGTTCCAATTTTACCGGATGTCAAAAAAAAACAAAAAAAAACGGATGTCCCGAAGGACGCCATATGCTATTCATATTGAATCGACGTTACAAGTCGCAGTCGCTTACTACAGATCATCACCTGTCATTTTCTCTGCAATCGAATACTCGGCGTACGTGGGACACATCACATCCTCTGCCCATTTTTAAATCTCCTCTGCATGGAACTGGTCACAGATCGCACTCACGAGTTTCGTTTACGTAGGTTTTCGTTTGTCAGTTTGTTTTTGTTTGCTTTCATCTGTTTTGGTTCCTTTTCGTTCTTTTTGTTAGCGTGGTTGTTTTCTCTTGTTTGTTTGTTTGTTTATTTGTTTGTTTATTTGTTCGATTATCTGTTTGATTATCTGTTTGATTATTTGTTTGTTTATTTCAAATATTTGTTTGCTTATTTGTTCGGTTATTTGTTTGTTTATATGTTGGTTTCTCTTTCGATTTTTTTGCTTAAATGTGGTGGATGTGTTGCACAATATTCATCTGCATCATTGATTGACTGCAGACAGATTGCATGATTTGATGTACCCCACCGCCAATAAGATTTTTTTTAAAAAAAGACAATGTTGAGAATGTGCATGAAAAAAAAAAAAAAAGAACGTGGATCGACCTAATACATGCATACGATTGCAGATTTGCAACAGCAACGACAGAACCGGAAAAAAAAAGAAAAAAAGAAAGGGAAAAACAAAATTGCATCGTCATTCGAAATGGCAAACGCACCTGTTTGCTGAAGAACGAAGATTTCTTCTTCTCTCGGAAAAAAGAACACGGCGAGGTTACCTCGCCGGTGTTCATCATGTTGATGTCATCACTGCTAGCGGACGAGTGTTCAGTACTCGTCGGGAGATTGCTGCTGAGGGTGACAGAGGACTCCCCGGCGGGGTACTCTCTCTCCCTTCTCCCAACCGCCACCATAGCAATCTCCTTTGTCATAACACCACCACCATCGAGTTGATCGCTGCAGCGATTTCCAGTGGAGACAGCCGAATCAGCGGTGATGGATGACCTCTCCTTCTCCTTGGGATGACCATGGCCTCTGGACCGCCTCCTCTCCTCTTCCTCCTCCGTCATGACAAGTTTCATCAGCTTCGTTTCGGTGGAGCCATTAGCGATACCCCAAATGAGCAGCACGAGCGACAAAGAAGCAGTCAGCGTCCACGTGGCAACATCTCCCCACAGTCCAGGGTACGTCTGAGCAAGATCGCTGTCGGGATCGCGATGACGACGACCGATCAAAGCTCCTCTTTCGTCTCCGGATGGCCGAGGAATACCATCTGTTTCTTCCTCTCCTTGATCTCCACCAAACGCATGTGCACTCCCAAAGCCATCAGGAGAGCTAGGGACACCACTCCCACTCCCACTGCGAGTGGCATCATCCCGAACGCCCAAGCCATCAACGGTCCAGATAGAAACCCAGTCGACGAACTCATCTTCCTCGTGATCGACGATCATCTCCTCTTCACTCACCAGCAGGTATTCATCAGACAGAGCACTAACAGACGCTGACGGGGGACGGAGACCAAGTCGATCGATCTCGCCTGCATCGAGTTTGCGAACGAAGGCAGACGAACTCCACACACCACCCATCTCCTCCTCTTCAACGGTCGGGTAAAACGCCTCTTCCTCCCACTTGACTACTCCTGCTGCGTCGTAATCGTACCGAGCAGCAGCAGCGAATGCCGCAGAGCTTTCCCAATCATCGGCATCGAGTTCAATCACCCCAACAATGGTTCCGTTATCCTCGTCATCGCCGCCGTTAACGACAACGCCGTCTTCCGTTACAGAGGACGCCTCTGGTGTTTGCATGGCCGCCAGCTTTGCAGGACTAATAACCACCTCTCCTGCAGACGAATCAGAACCATAAGCACGACCACGTTCATGTCTCCGTGGGGATGACGTCGCGCTCAATTCTTGCTCGATGACGGAGGACGACGGGACGAGCACAATGTCATCATCCTCTGCCGAGGAGCTGAGAAGCTGGTCAGCATCTTTTGCGGGCCGTACGATGTCCAGCATCGACGACGACGGCGTCGTCGAAGCAGAGGACAACATGTACGCACCGCCTTCATCATCGTCATTGTTAGAGAGCAAGTACCGATCATCATGATAATCATGTGAACGACTGCGTTCCTCGAAAAGAACGTATTGCGACTGCGACTGCGACGACTGCAACTGCGACTGCGACTCGACCTCAGCCACACTCCTGTCTGTCCACAGAGGGTCATCTCTCACAGCATCCACAAGTTTGTAGTCCGGGCCATTCGTCGCGTCGTCCGCCATATCTACAGAATAGACAAGTTGGACATCGTCGAGATGCCCATGAGCGGAATTGAACTCGTTATCCTCCCCGTGTCCGTGCTCGCTGTCATCCTCCCACTTCGACTCTGTCTCCTCCACTTTTCTATCCCCTTTGACGAGAGCCGACGAATAGAGGAAGGTGACTGGAGTCTCAGCGAAAGGATCTGGGAGAGACGACTGCTGCTCAAACCACATCCGTCGGATCTCCACGGCATCATCTTTTTCCCACCACTGGATAGAACTCTGCGACGCCTCCAACTTCGCCGCTATCATTAGAGAAGACGCGGTTCCATCTCCTGCAGACGGGATAGGAGACATGGCCATCAACCCATTGCCTGTGTCCTTGGGTGGCTCCACATTCGCATCACCAGCCATGGACGAACACGAACGATGGGAGCCTACTATTTCCAAATTAGGCAAGCGAGGCATTGAACCTGGTCCGATGATGACACCAAGTACGACAGCGATGAGGGCAATGAGACACAAATGCAGCGCTCGACGATCGACTTGCAACCCGCGTCTGACGGGCAGAGCCGCCAGGACAAAACCCAGCCACGACGTTGCCTCCACATCAGCAATCGAATAATAACAGCGGCGATTCTCTGTCCATCCCCTCCACATGGACGCAAGATGCTCTATCTTCCTCCCTCCCTTCTGCTTCTGATGCTTCCGATACCCAGCGAAATCGGTTGAAGGAGACATAGTTGATGCGCCCATTTGGTTGTCCTCCTCCCCGTCCTCGTCCTCGCGCAGACGACTCTGCTCCATCCCCCCGCGCGACCACCAGCCGCCAAATCCATGACGCCCGTCTCCGATCTCACCCTTACGTAATCCTTTTTCTGGTCCAGTACTGGTCTGATCACCATCATCGAGGCGCAATCGTCGTTTGCTGGTGAAGAAACCGGAGAAAGGCACTCCTGCACCCGCAACGCCATCAGTCGACGAAGGAAGAACATGAGCAGGGTCTGCGTGAGCGGAAGAGGAGGGGGGGTCCTTCAGCCAGTCAATGAAGCTGTGTCCGCCATATCCAGGATTATCAGACCTAGAAGGAGTAGAACATGCTGGACCGACGACATCACCTGCTGCAGGCGTAAACAGCGGAGCCGAGGATCGTACACCGCTGAAGCTCGACTGCCGCTGACGGTACATGCTGGAACGCGAAAAGGAATCGGCAGAACGTAATCCACCAAGGAAGTCCGCCCTCCCGTGATCGGGCCAATGGGCGGCGGGCTCAGCTCCCGCAATCTCGAAATCACCTCCACACGAAGGAGCTCTCCTATGTTGCCGCCGCTGTTGTCGCGTTTTACAAGCACTGGAAGGAGGAGAGACGGCCTCCGATCTCACGACGCCAAGTTCTTTGATGACACCTCCACATGGTCTGGCGGAATACATTTCTTCGTCAGAATTGTCGGCGAGGACTCGATCGTTTGTCCAGTCGAAGGAAATCGACCTGCAAACTCTCAGAGGCGACGAGGAAAATGAATCGTCTTTCCTCCCTCCTCCCCCTCCTGCTCCCACCATACACCCCCTCGCCGCCGTCCTTGCAGCACGCCTCGCTCTGTCTGACCTGGTCCCCGCCAACGAAAACGGCATCAAGTCCACGCTTTCTGGAGTGAGAGCGCGATCTTGTTGACTGCAGCCCCCACTGCCACCACCGCCTTGTTGGACCTCCTCCGGATCCCGATCTGCGCCGCCGCGATCCCGGCCGTCGTATGGGGACGACGGGCACGAAAACACGGGACGCTCGTCGAACCCGCCGCCCCACGAACACGAACGCGATGGCGTTGACGTCACCGACTTTTGTTGATACTTTCGTCGCGCCGCTGCCGGGGAGATGGGATTACCGCTGTAGGTTCTCGCGGAGCCGGCCGCCAGATTCTCACTGCCAAAGGGGCGAGGATGAGGAGAGAGAGAACCACCCACCTCCCTGGCGAGGCTCCTCGTCACTCGACGACAAGAGTAGTCCTGCTGCAGCTGTATTATTGGCTCGGAAATCGTGCTTGCCGCCGCCTCCCCCCCCCACACCGAATGGTCCATCGAATTCAATACATCTTGCTTAAGGGACAGAGGCTCGCGGTGGTGGGGAGTACCGTGAGTCTGCTGCTGCCGATGATCACCTGCAATCGAGGAAGATCGCCCCATCCTCACCGTCGATCGGATCTGCGTTCATCGAAAGAATGACCGGCGGCGGCCACACGTGGCAAGCAAGCACATGGGGAGAAGAGAGGAAGACAGGCGCCATCATAAGATCACACTCCGTAAGATGCCAGCGAATGAAAACACAGGAGCGATAGAAAGAAACAGTCAAGCGAAGATCACTTCACAACTCGGCGCGAAGACGGCGAACGACAGACGAAGCAATAGAAGGAATGGTGAACGACAGAAGAAGCCATAGACTCTGCTTCTCACGCATATGCTTCAACAAACAATAGACATCATTACATCTCCGCATGCAGTTGTCGGTAGAAAAAAACGCGCACAAGAAAAAAACATCCACAATCTCCGACGCGCTGCGGTCGGGCTGCGCTCCTGGCAATAGAATGGAAAGAAGATAGAAGGTAATGTGTACAGACCGCAAGCGAGGTGCAATTGGGAAAAGCACCCCCTTCCATGCTGGGAACCAGGAGTCAAATTAACGATCACGGGCAGGCAGGGATGCAATATTGGCAACATATACGTTAGATAAGTCGGCAACGGGCATTTTGAGTACCGTCTTCGCCCGAATACAACGACGCACACTCACGCTGCATGGACGCAAGCAAACTTGCGGGTCCGATGCAGCCATGATGAGGGTGCATTGTGTTCGCGTGAAGGCGCTCGATGTCGAGGGCGATGGATTGATTGCCACGCAAGCAGAGCAGCGCGAGTAATGATGTCGGTAGACCAGATAAGTCAGCAGGGGCAAATCGATCTACTTACTGTATTCCCTCGAATACAACGCATCCTCACCCTCCATGCATGCTACCTTCTTCACCCGAATACAACGTACGGACATTATAGCTGTACTTGGGGTATCTTTCCGTCCAAATACAGACAATAACGACGGTATTCGGGTGAGGAAAGTAGCAATCTGCCCCTACCGAATATAGCCGGCATGATGGTGCGTTGTGTCGGGGGCAAGACCAGGGTAAAGAAACCGATGCCCATGCCCACCGTATTCACCCAAATACAACCTAGTGTCATTGTACCTCTATTTGGGGCATCTTTCAATCTAGATACAGCAATAACGACAGTACGTTGTATTCGGGTGAAGACGGTAGCAAGTCAAACATAGCAGCCAGCGCTTGGTTGTTCGCAGACCAAAGCGAACACAAACAAAACCCCTACAACCTTCTTCCCCCTAATACAACGTACGGTCATTATAGCTGTATGTAGACTGAAACATACCGCAAATACAGCAATAGTCACCGATCGTTGTATTCGGGGAAGAAGGTAGTACAACGTCACGCGTTCGAAACTTGTTCCGACTTAAMAAAAAAAAAAAAAAAAAAACTTGTTGCTACGGCCCCCGACTGTCAACAGACAAGGACCGAGTATTTATGAAGTGGGAGAACGTCGAAACTCATCAATTCATGGAATCATACCGAAAAATATCAACGATAACAAAATCGTAATAGCGATAATCATGTGGTGTTCTGATAAATTTTGTTAATATAATATTAAATTACAAACAATAAATATATGAACATATATTTCCGCATCGAGGGGTTGCTCCCATTTTTCGAAACGTACTGTAATATTGCATTCAGGTAATCATCAGAACGCTGAAATATTTAACAGGAAAAGAAAAAGAAAAAAACGCAGTACTGGTAGGGTGCAAACCTAGGCTACCAGAGTGACCCGCCGGGACCACTTGCCCGGCCAGGCCAAAAGCAATAAAAATAATAAAAATAACAATAAAATATTTTTGAACTTAATTTTTTATTTGCAATTCGGTGAATAATTTGGATGTGACCCTGAGGCAAAAGTTGTTCAGTTTATTTTTTCTCCATAACATAATATTTTTCAGAGTTTTTCGAATTTTTTTTTTTTATTGGCTGGGACCCTCTTTGGCCCTTGCGCCGCCGGGCCGCAAGGTGACCCGGGCGGCCCGGCTGGTAGCCTAGGTGCGAACGGGAAAGAGCTTCGAAGGAAAGATCACATCAACAGAGAGTTAAGAAATTAAAACAAAATCATAGAAAACGACATAGCGACGCCACTCATTCCTTATTGATTTAACGTTTCCTTACAAAGAGAGACGAGCCAAACTGGCCAAGCTCAGTTGATGCTTGAAAAAGAGATTGATTTTGCCGTGCTTGAAAAACAGATTGATTTTGCCAATTGGAGCTTGAAAAAGAGATTGATTTTGCCAATTGGACTCTTCAGTCCATTTTCAATCAGAAACTCCAAAAGAAAAAGACAGACCAAGCCATTCTGCTTAGAAACAGCGCTTAGAGTATATGGCTACGGAAACAGTGCAGGGCAGCTCTAGTTACATAGTGTGCAAACAGGAATAAGGGTTGAAGAAAACCCGTATTCTCTAGAATGTACACGGCACACTGATTACGGTCAGATACAGTCTGCAAACTCCTATGCGAGAGAGTACGCTCTCCGAAATTCCTCATCTGTCCTTTCGACCATGAAAGTTTGTACTCGAAGAAATGAGTTCATGACCGAGCAAGAAATAGCTATAACCGTAGGTGAGGAAAGCAGAAGGAAACGAAAAAAGTGAGTCGGAGAGAAAAAGACAAGCGAAGAGTGCAGATTACCGTTGAGAAAAGTAGACAAGTGTGTCAGAAGGATTTGTTTGACGAAGTGAATTTGTTCCAACAAATAAGGGCATACTCACACTAGAACGTCTTTTACTTACTGTTTCTGTACGGAATTGCGGCCAGAAGCATACAGGTCTGGACGTTAATGCCGTGAAATACATTTCGGATATTTGCTAGTGCAAGTTCTGAAGGTGGGAACGCGGAAGGATAGGACATCGCTCCACTACTCTCGACGTGCACAAAAGACAAAATATGGCGGTGTATCCTCCCATGGTGTAGTGGAAGATTCATTCTCATTTGAACATTTGGTGAATAGTGGAACTAGGCCTAGATGGAAAAAGAACATTGGAGGAAAAAAGACAATGAGATTCCCTCTCCCAACTCAAATAGTTTTTGACCTGTATTCACAAAAAAACAGAAAAAAAGCTTTGTACCTGTTGCTGTAGTATATAGCCGACTTACAAACGCGTACAGGGCCTGCCAAGCGCAGCCGCCCGGCCTACTACGCCTTAGAGCGGATGCCCCCCTCACAAGTAAAGCCGCCTCTGCTGCTATTGCGAATCTGGGTCTCACCTAAAGCCTAAAGCTAGGAAGGATAGAGAACTGCCTATACGGCTGAATGGTATACCCGTCAACAGAGCTGAGATCGAATCCTTCGGTGAAATCAGTTAATAACAAAAAGAGCAAACAAATAAATGAAGGACAGACGGAAGTATTCCCCACCGACGGCAGTCATGATGCATCGGTACTCTTCAAACTTGCAGCATTGCACAGTAAGGATCGTTGAGGGACTACCGTCTTCGTTACCATATAGAAAGTACTCATTATAACCGTATCCAGTCTGAAAGTTGTAATGATCGTAGTACAAGACTTGGGGGGGTTAAGAACTAGGGCCATAATCTACCTAATACTAATTCGAGTCGTACAGTAGGACCATTGATGGGCTACCGTCTTTACCCGAAAGAACGTACATTGATCATAACCGTATCCAGACTTGAGGTTGCCCAGATACATCTGCCATGACCGTACAAGAGTCGGAGGGGTTAAGACGCTACCTTCTTCCCCCGAATACAACGTACGGTCATTATAGCTGTATTTGAGGCATCTTTCAGTCTAGATACAGCGATAATGACAGTACGTTGAATTAGGGGGAAGAAGGTAGGGGCGAAATCTACATAACAATTTACGTACGTACTCGGACACGCACCCTGCCTCCCGCTTATTCGAGAACTGGCACTGGAGATCGAGAAATAACCTCCTCCTTAACAGTGGGCAACCATGAGCGATCAGAGAGAAAAAGACAGGCAATCAAAAAAACAAAAGAGGGAAAGACAGACGATCGGGAATAAAAAGGAAAGACAGGCAATCGAGAAAAAAAAGGGTCCTTCGGGACATCCGTTAAAATTGGAACGATACAGAGAAGATTTGCATGGCCCCTGCGCAAGGATGACACGTATAAATCGAGAAATGAAAAAAAAAAAAAAAAAAGGGAAAGACAGGCAATCAACTCGATCCCGTCACAGTGGGCAACAGAAACGAAATTACGGAAAGAAGTAAAATGATAGAACGCACAAGTAACAAATGAAACCCACGAAACGTGAACAGAATAACGGCTAAGGGTTCTTGCCCCTACCTCGCGCCATGTCTGTCTGAAGTGAATACGGCCGTAATTGCAGCCAGGACCAACCTAGAAGCTCAACGGTGACCGTACCCTGACAAAGTGGTTAAACCGTTTAACGCTCATCAGATTATAATAAAATCAATCATCACGCTTAATCAGCATACTCACTGTAAGACTTTCGTGGACGTATCTGGTCGCGATCGAGTTCAAATCTTCATCCACACAACCACCGCGTCCGTTAGAAAGCAGAGAGAGGGCCTCACTCCACTACACCACTCTAGTGAATGCATTGGGACGCCATCTGGATCAGGTGCATTCGGACGAGTACAACGTATCGAACGTTTCGGTACCAGAAAGCGTCCGAATGCATGGAGAGTGCTGTGTAGCAGAGAGAGGGCCTCACTCCACTACACCACTCTAATTAATGCATTTGGACGCCCTCTGGATCAGGTGCACTCGGACGAGTACAACGTTTCGAACGTTTCGGTACAAGAAAGCGTCCAAATGCATGGAGTGCTGTGTAGTGGAACGAGGCCCAAAGTCCAAGGGTTAGATGAGAGATGGTGATGTCACGTATGCGATGTGGAAGTGGACACCAAGAGAGAAACAAAAAACAGACTTCACCAACAACAGCTCTTCTTGAAAGAAGAGCAGAAAAACTCTTGTCTGAAGGGAATGACGGCTAAGCAGGAGGGAGGAAACGAGGATGAAAAGGTGGGGGAGGGGCGTGACGAGGTGGGAAATAGGCCAACGGAGAATGTGGGTGCAAGGAGGGCAAATAGGGCAAATAGCGGTGGTGGAGCACAACGGAGAATGTGGGGCTAGTGTGAGAAATAGGGCTTAATAAGGAGACAGTGCGAC